TGGGACCCCATGCCCACCTGCAATCAATGCCAGGTCCCAGGAAGGAAGCCAACGTAAGAATGGGGTTGTGAATGGGATATGAATGGGCTTGCCCAGGGCCACTCTTTGAGAGCCATTGCAATTATGGGTGTGGTAGCCCATATTTGTACTCTTAGAACTCAAGAGGCTCTGACAGGATCATTACAAGTTTGATGCTAGCCTGAGCTATATAGCAAAGAACTGTTCAAAACTAGCCTGAGCTATACAGTAAGAAATTGTTCAAAACAACAACAAAAGAGCCTTTCAAGCTCATATTTTCCATAATGTTGTTCAGAACCAAGACCCCTGCTTCAACCTGCCAACTATTCTGCTCTGTGTAAGAAGCTGTGAGGCCAGGCTGCCAGCAAGTAGAATCTTCAGGCTCCTCTGTCATACTGCCCACATGTCAAGTGAGGGGCTGCAGCTGGGCTTCCAGGGGTGGATGGCAGAACCCCTAGACTTTTGCAGCAAGCCTTATGACCTGGACATTTTTATTGACTAAGATTTCAGAAGGAAACCAGAAAGTTGAACCCTGCTCTTGTCCATGAGACTTATTTCAAAGCTGGATTTTCCCCAGAATTGGGAATAGTTGCAAGTACATGAGATAGGATCCAAATCTAAATGCAAAACTCATTTGCTTCATATAGACTTCATACATATAAAGGTAATATTATGCAATTTTTAAATTAAGTTTGTGCTTAGAACAGTCACAGGATGTGAAATTCCCTACTTCTGCTATGCCAGCACTCAAAAGTTTCACTTTTTAGAGCAAGCATTCAGATGTCACATTTGGAGTTAGGGATGCCTCCAGGAGGCTGAAAATGGCACTGAGTGTGAACACTGGGTCTATGGAGGTACTGTGTGATTCTGCTCCCCAGGACATCACTGCAGTTCCAGTGACATCGGAAGGCACTTTCTCCACCTGGGGGGGGGGGGGGGGGGGGGCAGGCTATGAATCATTTCTGAAGGTCTCAGATGCTTGGCAGGGGGTAAACCAGGCTTCTTGACCCAAACATCAGCAGAGCCGCTAACAGCAAAGCTGAGCAGATGAAAGCACTTCAGATCATTTTGCTCATCAGCCATTGACAGAAGCAGCTCTCGGGAGCAGGCCAAGCCTTCAATGGGTATTGTTATCTGAAAAGGGATCCTTAGGGCATCCCTGGACTATGGACTGGGCCCTGGAACATCTCCAGCTTTCACTTCTTTATATCTGAAAAGCCATTCTGGCAGGAAAAGAAGGGAAGGTGAGGCGGTCTCTCAATTCTAACAAGAAGTTTGCTAACAAGTGATACCCTCTTTCCCCTGTGTAATCCCTGAAACTGGACACTGGGAGCAGACTGAGGTCTACTATACCTGCGGGCAGACTTTTCTCCTCCCATCCCCTGCTTCTCAGCATGAACATTCCCCTAGGCCTCCTCTCCTGGTGGAGTAACAGATTGGCCAATTCCCCTTTCAGGTACTCAGTTAATGTGACGGAAGCTTTAACATGAATCTTGTTTCTCTGAAAACTGTTTTTCTGGGTTATTTGTTATAGTAACAAAAAGCTTGCTTACACGATGTCCAAGGTGCTAAACTACCAAATACCAGTGACACTAATAGTAATGGATGCATAGAGTTTCTCAGTGCCAGACATCTTTCATGTTGGAATTGTTGTGTTGTTGCTATCATGGTTAAGACCTCATGTACCCAGCTTGGCCTTGAAGCCACTATGTAGTACAGGTTGATTTTGAATTCTTGATACTCCTGCCTCTACCTACAGATGACGGGATTAGAGGTCTATGCCACAAGCTTCAAGTATGTCAACCTCCTTGGACCACACAGGAGCACACTGAGGAAAAGGTTAGGATGACGTCCATTAACAGGGGAAGGTGTGATGGCCCAGACAAATTGGATGACTTGGCTAAGGTCATTCACTGGTGCACAGTGAAACCAGGGCTTGGAGCAATGTAATGTCATATATATTCTAGAAATGCCCAGAATTTGAACAGGACTTACCTCTCTCCCAGGATCATCAGCAGAATCAAAACTTGAGTATTTGCTTCCAGACTTGAGGAACAAAGGCCATAGCAGACCTCACGTTCCTTTCTCGTGTCATTGTGGCCAAATGGCTGTCATAAACAGGTCACATTGGGAAAGATTTATTTTGACTTGATTTAAGGAATTTTAGTCCATAGTTCTTGTTTCACTGATTCTGTGTTGAGGCAAAATGGCATGGCAGCTGGTAAAGGCTACATGAAGTAAAGGCTACTCACCCCATGGTAGACAGGAAGCAAAGGGACAAGAAAAAACAAGGTTCGATTATGATCTTCAAAGACACATGCACACCACCACCACCATTGGGGCTAGAAAGAAGGATGACTGGTTAAGAACACTGGCTGCCTTTCCAGGGTACCCTGACTTCTATTCCCAGCACACAAATAACAGCTCACAACCATCTGCAATGCTTCTGCAAGGCATCAGGCAAACATGCCGCACCGGCACACATGCAAACAAACACACAAAAGCGTAAAATAATGAAGTTTTAAAACATTATAGACAGCCGGCCATTGTGGCACATGCCTTTTATACTAGAACTAAGGGAGGCAGAGGCAGATCTCTGTGAGCTTGAGGCCAGCCTGGTCCACAAAGCAAGTCCACACAGTCAAGGCTACACAGAGAAACCTTATCTTGAAAACACAAACAAACAAAAAATGAAGGACATGTCCCCAGGGACCTACTTCCTTCAGCTATGCTCTGCTTCTCAAAGTTCCCACTACCTGCAAAGAAATATTTCACATTCTTTCACAACAAACTCAGGTTTCCCAACTTCCTGGAGATTTGACCATTGTGACAGTGTTATACTGTGGGCAGGGCCTCTTGGCATCAACTAAATGTCATTTCACTACAAGTAACTTTTAAAAGACAAGATGGCACTACCATTCTCTGAACCTCACTCCTGACCCATGTTCAGCGCCTGAGACATAGGGGTATGGGGACAGAAAGTGCCAGGAATGAACCATTAAGGAAGAATTGGGAAGAATCCAAAAACTCACTGGAGATCAACAGGAAAGACTATTCTAGGAAGAGAGAGTGCTTGAACGCCCAATAGGTGAGGGGACAGCAGAGGAGGTGAGTCCCAAAACCCTTGATTTGGAACCAGAGGTGATCTGCAAAATGGTCATTTAAGAGTCTCTCCAGTCCAGCATTCTAGGGAAAGTACCATATGCCTCCTTCTCCTAAACATTAACCCTGCTTTTTCCCTTTCTGAGGGCACAGGTCCCTCCCATGGCATCAATGATAAGAATAGGACAAAAGAAAAAAGCAGATACATTTAAGGAGTGACCACAAAAGGGATGGGGCACTGTGTGGCCACATATCAGTCCATTTGGTTGAGCAAAGCCAGAGACCAGGTCAGAGGCCAACTCTTCTGTTGCCAAGTGACTAACTACATCTTTGTCGCTAACACAAGCCTAGATGGATAGCATGGGCAGAGTAAGGACCATCTCCGGTGGTCCTGAAGCATTTAGCTCCACCCCCTGTACAGCTCTCTCAGCCACATAGTGTAGGACCTGGGAGCTCCATCCCCCACCCCACCCCCAGGCCAGGGATTCACTCTACTTCCTGACATATGGATGTCAGATAAACTGAGTCATGCTCTTTAGGAGCAGCTCTCCTCTGAGGCCTTGTATTATGAGCTTAACCAGGGCTAAAGTGAAGGGCTACCTTCTGACAGACTAGCAGTGGATTGCTCTAGGGTTTGGAAGCAGGGGAAACCCAAGCTGGAAAGGCATCATTCCTGACCACCACCCTCCTCCCTAGGGACATGTGGCTGGACGCCTCCATGGCTGAGTGCAAAGTGAGAGTTCTCAGGCCTCTCCATCACTGTATTCTACTTGCTGTAAGCAGCTGGGGAAAGGAATTAGCTTTCTTTTTCTTTCCTTTTCCTTTCTTTCTTTTATGTTTTTTTCATTTATTTATTTATTTATTTATTTATTTATTTATTTATTTTTGTCAAGAGAGGGGGAGTTCCAGGACAGCCAGGGCTACCCAAAGAAGCCCTGTGCTGAGATTACAGATTCCCACCACTACCAGCTGGAGAGCTTTATTTTTCTAACGTACACACATACAGACAGGCATACATATGTATATACATAATTATGAAAGGCAGGTGCATGCATGCCACAATGGGAAGTGGAGGTCAAATTTTCCTAGTTGTGGGTCCCAGGTTTTGAAGAAATTCAGATCTTCAGACTTTAGAGCAAGCACCTTTAATCCTGAGCCATGTCACCTGCCCTAGGTTAGTTTTCTTTTTTGAGAAGGGAGGAGTTGGGATTTTGGGTGTCTTTAGTTCTCTGAATACCTTTCCATTTCCTGAGGACCCTACTTGCATGCAGGGTGGGTGAGTGTTGCAGACAGAGAGGGAAAAGAGGGAGGGAGAAAGAGATCCAACACACACACACACACACCAGAACCCCACCTCTGCCTCTGAGGGACCTGGAATTCATCAAGATGTCCAAAGGGAGCTTCAGTTTCCTTCATCCCTGGACTGAGTTACAAGAAGATACAGAACTTTCTGAAAGCGGAAGGAGCAGGGAAAGGGTGTCAGGTGCTGGGTGATGGTTCTGTGTGCTCAGAGTAATCCGGGACACCGAGGATAGTTAGGAACCCAGAAAACTGCAGGTAGCGAGTGCAGACTAGTCGGATAGAACCTAACAGGAGAGGATTTGAAGGGCTGAGGGAGGCGTGATCTAGGGGCACGGTGGGACCCGGGGTCAAGTAGAGTTTCTGATTGCCCAGCGAAGATGGCAGCACGGCAGGGATGGTGCGGATAGGAAAAGCCCACGAATTGCCGAGAGAGCTCTGCGGGAGGAACAGACAGCACCTGAGGCCGGGCACGAGGAGGGAGGGGTGCGCGCAGGGCGAACGAGCTCCCGCAGCCGGGGGGCGCGCGGCAGCTCCGGGATTGGCGGGCGCTTCCCGGCCTCGCGCACTTCTTAGGCAGAGCGGCTGAGCGGAGCCGGCTGCCTGGTCCTTGGCTCAGCTCTCGGCTGCTCCACCGCGCTCGGCTGCCCGGGGTGGGCACCCGGAAGCATGAATGCGCCCGCAACTCTGCCCCCCGGGGGCGAGGACACCACCTGGACCCCAGGGATCAATGCCAGCCTGGCTCCGGAGGAGGAGGAGGATGCCGTGCGGTCCGACGGCTCGGGGACAGCGGGCATGCTCACTATCCAGTGTATCTATGCGCTCGTGTGCCTCGTGGGTCTGGTGGGCAACGCCCTGGTCATCTTCGTGATCCTACGCTATGCTAAGATGAAGACAGCCACCAACATCTACCTGCTCAACTTGGCCGTCGCCGACGAGCTCTTTATGCTCAGCGTGCCGTTCGTGGCCTCGGCGGCCGCCCTGCGTCACTGGCCCTTCGGGGCGGTGCTGTGCCGTGCAGTGCTTAGCGTGGATGGCCTTAACATGTTCACCAGTGTCTTCTGCCTCACCGTGCTCAGCGTGGACCGCTATGTGGCTGTGGTGCACCCTCTGCGTGCCGCCACCTACCGGCGGCCCAGCGTGGCCAAGCTAATCAACCTGGGAGTGTGGCTAGCGTCCTTGTTGGTCACCCTGCCCATCGCAGTCTTCGCTGACACCAGGCCGGCTCGTGGGGGTGAGGCCGTGGCGTGCAACCTGCACTGGCCTCACCCAGCCTGGTCTGCCGTCTTCGTGATCTATACTTTCTTGTTGGGCTTCCTGCTCCCGGTTCTGGCCATCGGACTGTGCTACCTGCTTATTGTGGGCAAGATGCGCGCAGTGGCCCTGCGGGCCGGCTGGCAGCAGCGGAGGCGCTCAGAGAAGAAGATCACGAGGCTCGTGCTGATGGTGGTGACCGTCTTTGTGCTGTGCTGGATGCCCTTCTACGTGGTGCAGCTTCTGAATCTTTTTGTCACCAGCCTCGATGCCACCGTCAACCATGTGTCCCTCATCCTCAGCTATGCCAACAGTTGTGCCAACCCTATTCTCTATGGCTTCCTCTCTGACAACTTTCGGCGCTCTTTCCAGCGGGTTCTGTGCCTGCGCTGCTGTCTCCTGGAAACGTCTGGAGGTGCCGAGGAAGAGCCTCTGGACTACTATGCCACTGCTCTCAAAAGCAGAGGGGGCGCAGGATGCATATGCCCTCCACTGCCCTGCCAGCAGGAGCCCATGCAAGCAGAACCTGGCTGCAAACAAGTCCCTTTCACCAAGACCACTACTTTTTGAAAACTAGTTCACCCTCCCTCGGCCCACCGGCAAGCAGGTCTGCACCACACTCTCAGCCCAGCAAATTCAAGAACAACTCCTATTTTCACTAAGCCAGCCCCTTTCAGCAGTGCGTGTGCTGTCTCCAGGAGCCTCAGGACCCCTGCTAGCTCCTCTCCTAGGACTGGCTCCAAGGACACCTCTATGGGGGTAGGAATGCTCTGGGAATTGGGCTAGAGTACCAGCCATTCCCGGACCTCTGGCAATGATTTGAGGGATGGGAAGCAGGAAGTGGTCAGAAAGGGATATCTACTCTTGTGTGACTTGTGACAGTGACTGCTTGGAAGAGCCCTGGGAGGGTGAGGTAGGCAGAGCCTGTGCCCTCTGCAGCCTAAAGCTATATGATAATGTATGTGGAGAGGCAGGGGAGAAGAGGCTGCCTCCAAGTGCTTTCCCTCCGTGTCTGTGTAAGACTCTCGTTGCTAAGCGAGATGTGTATGCAATAGCTGAGTGTGCTTGCTTTGTCGCCCTACAAGTGTCTCCCAGTTGTCAAGGGGCCAGGAGCAGACTTCCTGTGAATGTGAAAGGTTTTAGGAAACACGTTGTGGGAGTTGTTGCAAAGCATAAAACTTCTGGTCAGGAATTAAAAGGTAGAAAGGATAAAAATCTCATCCGCTGCAATTTTTTCCACCTCTTTCCCTGGCTACAGGAATACGAAACCTGAGTTATGCCATGAGGGGGAGGGTGTCAGGAAAAGACCAGAGAACTAGGTGGAGGGGAAACAGACTGTGTTTTGACATCAGATGCTGAGCACAGTGAAAGCCGCCCATGTGCTGGAATGTTAGCCACAGCTCCACTGATCTCTCCCCTGAGGAAGAGTCACAGACGGTAGGAGCTTTACTTTTGCTACAGAAGAGGAGGCTGCATCTGAGTGAGAAGTGGCTGACCACAGCCCAGATCAGTACAGCAAAAGATCCTGCTGAGTTCCACGGAACCACTGTTGGTGGTACTAGGATAATAAACCAAGAGGGGCAGGAGGAAACCCAGTGCTCAGCCAGGCAGTTCCCACAGCTGCCTGGCAGGGGAGAATGCTCTTTAAAAGAAAAGACCTGGGTCCTTCATCCGGGAAAATACAGTTCTGTGTCTTCTAGGATGAATTCTAGCTGTTGGAAGGCTAATGGGGATCCAGACTGGACCAAGAGGCAGGGAGGGGCCTGAGGGAATGCCCTGCCACCTTGTAGGTTACAGGGCGTCTCTGAGAGCCTGGGAGAAGCCGGAGGTGACCTTTTCTGGGCCACTTGCCCGGAGCCATGACTGTGTGACAGTAGCAGCTGCCTGGTATGTGGGAAATGGACAAGAAGGTTGAATTCTGGTCCCAGGCACAAAAGCCTTATAACTCATTCAGGCCAGGTCTTCAGAATTCTTGCCTGGAAAAACCAACAGGTCCTTGTAGTTTAGCAACTCTTTTGTTGATGCTACATTTTTGTTGTTTTGCTATTGTTGCTGTTGTTTGATCTCATGTTACACCAGCTAGCCATGAATTCACTCCACAGTAGCTGAGGATGACATTTAACTTCTGATCCTCCTACTTCCACCTCCTGAGTATTGAGGTTACAGTGTGCAGCATGATTCTTACCAAGTTAATCTTACCCCTCCCCTCTTTTTCTTTTTTTAAGACTGGAGATTCCAACTTCTTCACTAACAATAGAAAAGAGAAAGGCCCATGTTAAGGGTCTAGACATAGAACTGTTGGGTTCTTACCTTCTGAAATGGTCAGCCAACTAGCCTGATAGTGACAGTTGCTGTTGATCATGGGTGTCTCAGATGGTTAGGAAGAAGTGTGTGAAAGCCAACAGGGTCTGCTAATCAGAGAACTGCGTAGCCAGGTCTCTTCTGTATCACAGGCTATGGCTATGGGTTGAAAATCTCTAAGTCGAGCACCAACCTCTTTGACTCTACTAGCACGTATGCACACGTGTTCACACACATGCACGAACCATTCCTAACTTGTCATTACTTCCCACAGTCACCCTGGGCACCCAGAGCAAATTACTTTCATGTCTGTGGAGCTTATGTGTGTAAGAGTAACTTGTTGCAGGTTTTTTGAATTAAATTGTTTCTCTGTCCCTGGTGCCTGGCTGATGAATGTGCTTGTACTTCACTATTGGGAACTTTTGGACTTAGCAGTGGTTGCAGTAGACAAAGGTGTCAGGCTTTTGCCCTCGTTTGAGTGGATCTGGAGTTCTTGATTTTAATCTTTTAATGACTCACCCAGGCCCTAAGACATGCTTAGGGAATTAGTCTGGAAAAAGACTAATTCTTTTTTTTTTTTTAATGTAGGCTTTTAACAGGAATTAATGGTGTCTGAAGAGCCAGTAGCTTCAAGCTAGAGAAGCCACCAATGATAACAGAAAACATCAGATTTAGCCAGCCCATGAACAGAAATTTCAGCTCTCCAGACTCACTTTCCCACTGTTAATATATGTTCAAAGGGAGGTTTAGAGTTCCTAGCTCTTCTGCTTTGTTTTTGCTACCACAGGATCTGGACATGAATCCCAGCAAATTTGGACCTTGAAATCCTTGCCTGATAGGTTGTATGTGGTGAATCACTTCCGCTTCTCACTCTCTCATCCTAAGAACATGACAGTATAGCCTTAAATTCTGTGAGCACAGATGTCCGAATCCTAAGGCTGTGTTTGCTGAGACAACTCTACTGTGTTAGTTAGCACCATGCCCCAAATTCTGCTCTGTGGATCCATGTGCCCCAGGGAGGTTTATCAGTGACAGTACGCTAATGGTGTCTCTCAGTGATGCAACCGGCTTCCAGACACCCTGGTGAGTCTGCACAGTATGGAACTCGGAAATAATTGCCAAAGATGGCTATTAACCAGATAACAATAGAAACAAAAAGTATAATTCAATTCTAAGTTAAAATAATAATCATGCCATGGCTAGACACACAGCGTAATAGCAGACTGCTTGCTTAACATGTGCAAAGCCCTGGCTCTTGTATTTCCAGGAATGCACACACATACACACACACACACACACACACACACACACACACACACACACACAATCCGAAGAAGGAATTTGGCTCCCATGAGCTAATACAATAGAACCTGTCCTTCTTTTACAGCAGGTGTTCCTGGGACACTGAGGAGGAGGAAATAGGGTAGTTTGGAGGCTTCTGTGTGTGTTATTATCCAAATTGGCCTTTCTTCAGTCTTTTTGTGCAGGCAGTGATTTCTCTTCTTCCATTTGGATGAAAGCATCACTTGCATATGAGAAAACTCACCCTTTCCGTGTGTGCAGTTCTATAACTATTGATAAGCAATTACAATTCTGAAGTTGACACCCTAGTCAAGAGAGATCCTCTTTCTAGCCTCCTGGTTTTCTTTGTGATCAGAGGAGGATCACAAGGAAAACAGGAAGCATGTGAAGTTATGGTGAGGCTCTCCCTAAATCTTTTCCTCCCTTTAGGCCAGCCCTGGATTCCTCCCATTATCAGGAAGAAGAACTCAGCCCAGAGACCCAGGCAGCTGCTGCCTGCCCTTAAGTTCTAAACCTGGAGGAAGTGTTCTAAACTTCAGAAGCCTTCTGAACAAAGTGGGACTTTGAATAAGTCCCTGGGAAAGTTATGAATTCCCTATGGACTTTGTAACCTTTTGAACACTGGAGAAGGAGTGTGGCTTCCTTTCTGGCCAGGAACCCACGCTTTCTTCCCGGAAGAACAGTAAGAATATTTCTCTAGACTTTGTCTGCACTGGAGTCTGCCACTGCCTGCTAACTGCTGGCCTGAAGACAGCTTGCACAGGGTTTGTGTCACTCTGTTTCAGCTTCTTATTTAAGTAGCTTCCTGTGCTTGCCAAGGTCAGGAAACCTGAGTCTGACTCCAGCCCATCTGACCCCACCTCAATTTCTCTTGGTGTCAGTGCTAAATTTCTGCAGAACCTCTTTTAAGGAGGAGGGTGAAAACACTTATGGCAATTAATCATCTGGAAAGAATCTCAGCTGTTTGTGGTATACAGCTGGAAGGAGAGTAGGACAGAGAGTGAGATCAAAATAAGCATGTGAAAGAAACTAGATGAATGAGGGAAAGGCTAGCAGCAACTTCCACCAAAGCTGAGGTGTAACAAATACACCTCAGAATGGCCTTCTCCCAAGGTTCCAATCTTTGCGACATAATGTGGGCACCACTGAGTTACTGACCTTTCTCCCAGTTCTGATTCACTTCCTCCTCTGGCTGTGCTTTCTTCCTTAATAAACTCTTTCAGCTTCTACTTTTGTCTGTGCATCCCTGCCAGGTTTCTCGTTCTAGGATATAAAAATGTGAAAGTCCCATTGAATGCACATTGGGTTCCTGTATCTTCTAATATCATCCAAAAAATGTCTTAAAGTGGGAGGGCAGGGGCTACTGTTACGAGTGTAAGTGTCTGGATCTGTGGAAGGTGAGGTCTTGTGCTCAAGATAATTAAACCCAGACAAAGAAAGAAGAAAGCTGCAAAGCCCCCACCCACCTCCCACCGTGTCTCTTTGTCTCTCTAAACAAAAGCTCACCTTGCTCCACCAGCCAAGTGTTCTAGCAGTTGAGGCCTGAGTGGCAGAAGCCAAGGCTATGCTATTGACATGAGGCCACCAAAGGAGAAGCAGACAAGTGGTAGGATTCTGCCATCATCCTGCAACTTCCTATCACAACGGATTTCTTTCAGGCACAGGTTTAAAGACAAACACCCCTAGCCTATGGTCTGAGCAGCACAATTATCGGAAGGCCCAGCTTTGAGTCCTCATGCTCTTCTTGGGATCCCTGAAGCCCTCTGCAGTCTGACTCCCACCCCATTTCTTTTTTCTTTACCCCCTCCTTTGGTTTTTCAAGACATGATTTCTCTGTGTCGCCTTGGCTGTCCTGGACTCACTTTTTCTACCAAGATAACCTCAAAGTCACAGCAAACTGCCTGCCTCTGCCTCCCTGAGTGTTGGGATTACAGGTGTGCGCCACCGTGTCTGGCTCCCCATCCCATTTCAAGTAGACTTGAGGGGACACACTCCATGGGCTGTTTTGTGTTTTTCAATCACTTTCAAAAACAGGCTGAAAAGGATTTTGATTCTGTTAGAATATGATGTTAAAACAATATTTAGTTTTTCATGAGTGAGGAAATCAGTTGTTTGCTTATGCCTGAACCTGCTGACCAAGAAAAAAAGGAGGAAGGACCCACTTGAAGCAAAAAGGTAGTGCTGAGCCAGGCATTCATTATGGGGGGAAAAAAACAGATCTGGGTGTGACCTGTGTCATTCTATGAACTGTAGGCAAAGGTCAGAGGTCAGGAGATGCTTCTGGGTACCACCACAATGTGTTTTGTGTTCTTTGTAAATTTATTTTTCCTGACATCACAGTGTCACCCAAGAACAGGAACAGCATTAGGGATCCTGGCCTTGTCTACAGCACAGCATTACTCCCAGAGTCACCCACACAGGAGGCCTGAACCCTCTGGACTGGAATCATGTTTCTCCTTTAATCATCTGAAAGCATGTTCTCGATCTCTATGATGTCTTTGGAACAACTGATGTACAGAGATCTCTGTACCTCACCACACTGGTGAGACTTATTTGTAGAAAGTAAGCAAGAGCCCTTGAAACTTGGATTTCCTCGCTACTGTAAGGTCACTCTCACCTTTTAAACATCTCTCTCCTTAAACTGTAATGAGTACCCTGAAATTCCACCCCCCACAGCTCCCTCAGGGCCAACAGCACCTTTGCAAAGTGGCTGTGGACCCTTAAAGGTCACTCTTGCACTGCCTTGCATTTGCCTCCTGATATTCCCTATTCCAATGTAACCTTTTCTTTATTCATAGAAGCATCTATTACTGTAATGTCCCACAGGCTAACCATTATCAAGCATGTGCTATATTTCAGAAGCTGCCTGCTCATCTTTTTGCTCCTCACGCACCCACAGCAAGGCAGCACTGCTGGCTCCCTTTCAAAGATTAGAGGGTGCCTGTGGCAACATAAACCCAAGTATCAGGCTGGGGTCAGATCAAGGTGTCTGTGATAATCCCATCCCATGTCACCTCTGCTTGATGCCTACAGGACAAACTAAAAGTTTCTTTTTTTAGTGATATGTAAATAATCTAGAAGTTTCTATGCTCTTTCTGAACAATTTCTAATCCCACCATGCTGCTGATAAAACACCTGAGTGGCCTGTGGCACTAAGGCTATTCCCCCTTCCTCTGACCCCCAGAACCATCCACACTCACCTGTTTGGGCTCACCTTGCTTTTCATAGGTCACTAAGACACATGATGAAGCCTCCACCAGTGGAGACAAAGTTGAGGCAAAGTGCTTTGCAGCACAAGTCCCCCAAACCCGCATAAAAGCCTGACATGGTGGTATTCACCTGCCATCCAGTGCTAGAATGTGCGGGAGAAAGGCAAATCCTGAAGGACTCATCTACCTGAAGACAGTGAGATTCAGATTTAGTGAAAGGTCCTGTCACAATAAAATAATAAAATAAAATAAAATAAAATAAAATAAATGTAGAAGCAACTTAGGGAGACATTCTGTTGTTGATTTCTGACATCTGCAGGTGCCTAAAGCTATGAAAGCACATGCATTCAGCCATATCCCCAACACACACACACACACACACACACACACGTACACACAACTATAACACTTCAGGTCGACATTGAGAATCTCTTCCATACCTAGATGTCTAAAATTATCTGAATGTCTTACTTTGCTGTCTTTTCTCATGGCAATTTTCATGTGAAATTCAGACAGCAAAACCATTCCACAAAAAGGGCCCGAGAAACCAGTGTCCCAAAGACAGTGATTCCCCTCGTTGCCAGCAGAGATGAGGATAGTTTCTTGCCAGATGAAACGACACCTTGGCATTCAGAAACAATCCTTGAATTCGAGCCATAGACCCTCATGACAGCTGGAGTTTTACACTTCAGAGAATCAGCAATGTTGAAGCACACACGACCCTCAGCTGGAAAGCTAAAGGTGCCTCAGACCCGAGAGTGTGTCTGAAAACACAGACATGAGGCATCCTGTATAAAGTTGTTATGGTTACACAAATGAAATAAATGTCTGCACATACAGAGATAACATAAACTCTTTTTACCTGGACAATAACTTCCTCTTGGAAGACATTTGAAGTCAGAGATTGTGTTAGGAACAGGTGGTAGGGTGCAGGCCCGCCTTTACTGTATCTCCTGGAGTTTGCCTTGTTTGTGTGCATAAAATAAGCCTTAAAATTGAGGGGATTTGGGGGGGGGGAAGGAGAAGAGACACGCAACAGCACATTTTCATCTGTTTATTTTGTACATGTGACGTCATAAGCAAAGGCTTTGCCTGTGTTCCAGCTAAACTCCAATAAATAAATATGTACAAATATGCTGAGCTTACAAAACAATAACAAAAAACAAAAAAACAAAAAACATTCCTTCCAAAAGATACACATATGATACATTTGTTACTTACACTGATATATGAGTTCATTCCTACCTTAATTAAACCAAAATCCTTCTGGACCCTGTGTGGCAATATCTAGAGGTGTGTGTGTACCTGGTCATTTTATTTTACACAAGAAAACAAAGCTACGCAGTGAGAAATTCCTCAGTTTCTTGATAATAAATGGCCTAACATCATATGCTACTTATTATTAACCGGCATTTAATGTTCTCCAGAAGTTGAAAACTGTTTAGTCCTCAAATGACTGGACAATGTCCATGTGAAAGTTGTTAAAATGCAGCTTTTTCTGAACTGGTGCACGGGTGTATGGAGGGTTGGGGGTGGGGGTGTTAAGATTTTGCAATTCTAGCCAGATCCCAAGGGAGGTCCCAATTCTTGTATACAGGCCAGCGGCCAGAACTAGAAGGTCCCTCTATAGTAGAAGATATTGTTCAAGAGTCTCATTAAGACAAAATCTAGGCACCCACCTCCCCCACACACACACACACATACTCCATTACCAAGTTCCCATATCTCCCTAAGCAGCACATTGCTATTATTTTGGGACTAAAATTGGCAATCACAGTTAAGTGTAAGCTAGGCACAAAGCATTCAACTTAAAGATTTGCTGGAAGATGCTTCCATCTGTCAATTTCAGAGATGTCCAGCCTGAGGACCACATACATCCCTGGAAAGCTCTGAATGTAGCCCAATATGTCTGAAAATGGCAATGTCCTATTGCAATGTCAAAAAGTTGGACAAAGGATCATCTGAACATGTTCAATACTGTCAAAACTAGTAACACTAAAGGGGCCTTCATAAAATGCTTAACAATAATTACCTTTTGTCATTCTAAATCAAAACAACAGCAATAATAATAAAGCCCAGGCTCACCTTTTCAAAAATAAAAATGAAAACAAAACAAAACCCCTACCTCCCTGCCCTTAATTTCTGCGGCTTTCCAGCACTATTAACTAGTGTTCAGCTGTAGCATTTAACTTTTGTTAAAATTATTTTGACTGGAAACCTGACATTTCCTATTAAATTGCCAAAGCCAACGAAAAAGAAAACTTTCTGCTTTTAGTGTTTCTTTTCTGGTTCACATAAGAGTTCTGTCTGGAGAGAAGGGTGAAAGCAAAGTAAGGTCATGTTTGGGAATGAGAAATGGGAGAGGGAGAGTGTGGAAGGAGGGGAAGGAATGGAGGGGCAGAGAGCAAGGGTGGGGGCTGAGAGCTACAGGCTAAGGAAAACTGAAGGCAAGAAATGCTAAATACTTAAACAAATATAAATATCTGGGCCATCTCTGGTCTGTGGGGTCAAGATTTGCCTCCATGCCTACAGACCGTCAGCACCCACACATCCTGCACCCCGAGGTGAGGGCCTGGGGACACTCTGCGGACCGTTCTTCACTGGGTTTGCTACCTCTGCCCAGCGGTCCGGTATCAACTTGGAAGAAGCTGGGCTCTCCTGCTTCAAGGCCTCCCCACCCTCTCTTGTCTTGGGAGGATGGGGCAGGCTCTTCTCCCATCAGCATGTCAGCCAGGACGCTGTTAAATTTTCAGAGAGCGCAGCTGGGAGGCTGGGAGGAGAGGAGAGGTACGGAAGTGCAGAGCCAGGAAAGACAGAGGCAGCCTGGATCTGTGGAGCAAGGAGTCCTTCAGAACTTCTGCAGTGTCCGATCAGTCCTCACCTGCTGCAGCACTACCTCCTTGGCTGGGGACGCACACTTATACTCCAGCTCTGCCCGCGCTGCGCTCTGCTTCTTGCGCAGGTGACAGAGAAGCGCCAAAAGCGCTGCCACCAGGGACAGGCTGGCAATGGAAATGCCAATGAGCACGCCAGAATGCACTGGCCTTTCAGCCGGAGGACCTGTCGGAGAGCCTGGCGTCGGGCCGACTGGGGCCTCTCCAGAGCCTTCGTCCTCAATGTCTTCCTTAACAGGCTTGGGATCACAGTCCTGGCTAATCTGGCCAGCAAGGGCTGTGTTGGGCCCACAGATGCACTCGTAGGAGCCTGGAAGGTTTCGACACTCACTGGGGTGGCAGAGGCCTGAACTGCACTCATCGATGTCCTCGCACGTGACACCGTCGTCCAGGATGAAGCCTTCAGGGCATTGGCACGAGTCAGGAGTGTTCGGGTCACAGTCCGCCGGGCATGAACTTTCATTGCAGAACAATTCGCACCTGTGCGGCTCCTTGGGCTTGGGTGCGAAGCCCTCGGCACAGATGCAACGATACTCAGCGGCGCTCACCGGCTGGCACTGAAACTCGCAGTCATTTCCGAAGCACGGATCCGGGGGCTCCACGCACTCTCCATCCACCAACTCAAAGCCATCGTAGCAGAAACATTCGAAGCCGCCCTTGGTGTTGACGCAAAGCTGCGGGCATGGATTGGGCCCCTGCTGACAGTCATCCACGTCCTCGCAACTGTGTCCGTCGGCTGCCAACTGGTAGCCTGTCTCGCACATGCAGTAGTAAGAGCCTGTCACGTTAGGGTTGTTAACGCAAAAATGATCACAGAGGTCATTGCACGATTGCTCCACAGGTCTTGCGCATGAACGTCCATCGGCCTGCAGGTTGGTGTCGCTGGGACAGAGGCATCTGGGTCCGTCTGTGGTCTGGTTGCACAAGTACTCGCAGCCACCTTTCTCCACGCTGCAGTTCCAGGCTCCTGTCGCTTCCCGAACCCAGCGTCCCTCTGAAGTTCCGGGCGGAGCCCTGCATACCAGCTCCAAGCCAAGGGGCATCACCGCAACGGAGCTGCCTACTGGCAGCGTCTGAAAGTCCGCACCACTGACCCCAAACGGGGTGTTGTAGGTGCTAGAGATGTGCGCAGCCTCGGAATCTCGGGCATCCACCGCCAGAGGCCTGCAGGACGCTGTGAAGGCGAACTCGCAGAGGAAGCCGTCGGCCTGCGTCTCGCAGGGCTGCTCTTCCCAGGCCGGCTCGCCCGGTGCAGCCTCTGTTGCTACCGAGACGGTGACGCACAGCGGGCCGCAGAGTGGAGCCGCTGGGTCGTTGGGCCGCGCCCACCTGCTGTAACTTGTGTGGTTGTCTCCTGTAACCCACTGGAAGCCGCGCAGGGGTCCAACATGCAGCGGGTCGCCACAGCCCTGCGGGAGCTGTAAGCCGATCCAGGGGCGTGAGTCCATACTACTGTCGTCGCTCAGCAGAAGGGAAATGACATCGGCAGCCACCGAGGAGCGGACTGTCATTAGATGTCCTTGCAGGCTTTCGCAGGCCCGGCTGGCGGCGGAGAAGGTCACGGGGCCCTGGAAAAGCGCGAAGCACTCGTGCTCTATGCACTGACTGCCTTTGGACTGCAGCTCCGCTAATACGGAGATCCCCAGGCCAGCTGGAGCCAGCACACCCAGAAGGAGAACACCAAGCATGCTGTCCAGGGTGCAGCGTGCAACCTCCGCGGCGGAGAACGCTAGCCCTGCGACGGTGGCGCCCAGCCCCGGCAGGGGGGGGGGGGGGTTTACGACGCCTTTGGCGAGAGCAGCTAGCCTCTGTAGCAGCCTAGACGTTCCTAGCTAGGCTCGTAGTCCCCGCGAGGAAGCCTCTGACATCCACTCAGCTGAGGCTCCAGTTTATAAACGCGCGGCCCTCCCTCTTTGGACGTTCGGGAAAAGGAAGGAAGTGCCTGGTGGGAAGGGCTGATGCTGCATTCTCGGATTACTAGGTTCTCCCGACGCCTTGCGCCCGCCCTCCAGCCTGGGATCACCTCTGAGCTGGGCGTAAAACTTGGCCAAGGCGCTGGGAGGTCCTCGGGCGTGGCCCGCAGGCGCTACTAAAAAACAAAGCGGTGTCAGCAGGGCGACAGTTTCCACCCGGGACAAGCCGGTGTAGCCGGCGGGTAGCCTGTCTTTCAACACACACACCTACACACACCTTCCTCGTAGATAATACCAGACTTTGAAGGTTGGTCTGGTTGGTGGGGCAGGGAAAAAAAGAAAAAACAAAATAAGAAAACAACAACAACGGAGAGTCGGGGAGTCGGGGAGAGGGTGTGTCTGAAGCATGCACGAACTAGGAGAGGTTAGCAAACAGCAAGACAACGGTCAGAATTGATTGCTAGGAGGGCACGTTAGACCCACAACCCAGGATGACTGGCTGCAATGAGGACCTCGGAGGAGGCCAGGGAAATGACACCAGGGCAGCAAGAGATCTAATTGACCTAATAACCCCAAACTCTCCTCTCCTCTCCTCTCCACTCTGACGACTGGTCAGCTATCGCCAGCTCCTGGGCAAGTGTGGCCAAGACCAGACCCTCTCTGGTTCCTTGAGAAAGTCGAGTTCGGTTCTGGCTCAGAGATCACTGCCCTCGTTCCCAGTCCTGCAGAAGTCTGGGGAAGGCGTGTTGCGTTCCTTTGTTCTGGTTTTTGTTTTGTTTGTTTTGTTTCCCTCCAAGCCCACCTCACACCCCTGCGCGGAACTGCCTGGGGCCCTCCGCAAGGAGGCGATGTGAGCTACAATGGAGCCTACTTGGTTCCTTTTGAGGTGATCATTTCCATCATCATTTGAGAGCCTCAAAAAATAGAGGTGCCTACACATACCATTTGCTCACAAAAGGGCATTGAAGAGGCTGGGTTCTGTGGGCAGGATGCCGGGTAGCTAGCTGGGAGGGGCGGGTGGGACTCTGTCACTTAGGACTTTTAACTGCTTAAAGCACTCACTAAGAATGTGGAGGGCTGGGTCCAAATCAAAGCCTAGCCACCTCCCCCACACCTCCCCCATTCTCCCATCTCCACTCTCCGCCCCCCCAATGCCGCTACACTCACACATACACACACACACGCACACGCACACGCACACGCACGCACACGCCCGCGCGCGCGCGCCCCTAGCCTTCATCTCCACGGCTGTCACTTCCACCAAACTGCCAGGAGGCGGCGCTGTTAAACTCTAGACCAATTCAAGGACAGCGAAGCATTACAATTGCTGCAGCTCAGAGTGTGGGCTGCCCAGAGCTTAGCCTGCGGATAGGAAATTCGGCTGTGGAAAGCCCCGCATAGTTCCCACGGCTTACAAGTAAATCTAGCTTCGCTGGTCCAGTACAGCCCAGACTTTGGCCTCACGGGGGAAAACATGCACCGATGGACACGTGACCAAGAGTGTAGGGTAAAAGCACTGAGACTATAAAAAGAAGCAGGTGGGACAGCCTCCGTCTATTACCCATGCAGGACTCGGGCTCTGCCAACCAGAGCTTGGACCTGTAGCCCCATTGGCTGAACTTTTCTTTATTGGGTCAAAGCTGCCTCGATTCTCAGTGACGAAAACTACAGAGTTGCGAATGGATGCCAAACTTTTAAGTTCTGGGAATGAGTACAACTACATCCGGCATGGGTCCTGAGAAAGAGAAAAAAAAAAAAAAATGGCCAGGGATCAGACAGTGAGGATAGCCTTTGGAGACGGAGGCAGCTTTCTGGCGTCGGATGGGACCTCTAGGAACACTTTTCCAAAGCAGGTACATTCCCTAGGTAGAAGTCAGCAGAGGACCGACCAGCCTACTCTGTGAACTGATGGGCTTATTCAAGCACTAGTAATTCAGTACCGGGACAACACAGCATTGAAGCGTGGTTTCCCTCCTGAGTGGGGACTTCTGAACATGCCAGCTGTCTTCTCTTGCCAGTGTTTTTGTTGTTATGATAAAACACCATGACCAAAAGCAACTTAGGGGGGGGGGGGGGGTATTTCATCTTACTGCTTAGGGTCCATCATCCAGAGGAGTCAGGGCGGGAACCTAGCAGCAGGCACCGATGCCGAGGCCATAGAAGAGTGCTGCTTACTGTCTTGCTCCTCATGGCTTGCTCAGCCTGCTTTCTTACATCACCCAGGACCACCAGCCCATGGTGGCTCTACCCACAAGGGGATGGGCCTACCCCACACTCATCAATCAAGAAAGTGCACTGCAAGCTTGCCTACAGGCTAATCCACTGGGGGAATTTTTGTAACTGAGGTTCTCTCTTCCCAAAAGACTAGCTTATGCCAACTTGGCACAAAACCAGCCAGCACACCAGTCCTGAATATTGTTAAAAGGTAGCTGGGGTCTTGGAAGGGTTTTAGCCGATTCACTGCCATCTTTGGTGGTTGTTTTATGACAAAACTTCCTGGGGAGATGCAACACACATATATACTCACCCTAGGTAGGGAACTTACAACAAACCAAAGTATGGATCCCGCCAAAGTACAACTCGGTGACCTGATGTTTTTATTGGGGTCACTTACAGGTGCAGAAATGATTCAAAGACAGCTGTGTTACCAAAACCTGTGTGACAGTGCCTAAAGCTGGCAACCTGGGGCACATAGCACAGCCTGTAGGCAGCTCAAGAGTTTGGAGAGTATCCTTCCCAGGTGACTCAGTTGGTCTAAACCTCTTCTCAGCAGCTGGTTTGGTCTCAAAGTCTTCTTTGCAGCTTGGCTCCACTCACCTGAGAGGGACTCCCAGTTTTTGTGGCTTATTCTGGCAAGGAGAGGTCTAGTAAATTTGGTCAGTTTCAGTGACTTCCTGAAGCTATTCTGAGTTGTCTACTTTCTTGCTTGAGGAGCATCCCTGCAGGATGGAATATTCTAATTAGAAAGAAACTGTTAACAACAATGGAAAGTCTTATGCAGAGCATAAGCCCGCTAGTGCCAAGTGTTGGAACTTCCACAGAAAGAACTCAGTGATGGGAAAAGTTGCCCAGCTACATACAAAGAGGTGTTGGCCCTTCCATATTAGAAACAATACCATGTGGGTACCAGTAAGTTCTACAACATTCTGCAGAGGACAGATGGATATGGCATTGAGCTCTCCTATCCATCGTTATTATCCTCTGTCCCTAAGCACATCCTGTGTTGCCTTCCAAGGCTTTCCCTCTAACATTGCAGCGTTCCTCTTCAGCCACTTCAGTGCGGAAGGCTCTCTGCATGCGTTAAATTGCTTCCCACTGAATAAAGTTTTCAGTGAATGAAGTATTCTTGGTGGTGTCTAGCTTCCTATCTGTATTTCCTTCTTATGTCTGTGTATGACACACCTCTGTGTATATATGTGTGTGTGTGTGCCCTGTTCTTTACTGTGCCAACTCCAATTATACACCAACTAAGACATTTTACTGTTAAGATCATCTCCTCAAAGACTATCATATCTCATGCACTGACCCAAAAACCAGTTTTCCATCTTTTCACTTCCAGATATCCTCTGAGCCATTTTCACTCTTGACTCTCCCCATTTTCAAGGCTTCTTCCATGGTGTTCAATCTGGTCTTCCTGCTGAGCCCAAGCTTACCACTTCACAATGTTCTTCCTGAAGTCACCATCTATCTCTGAGCTCATGTTATACCCATTCTCCTGCCAGAAGACTGCAGAGGGAATGTCCCACAAGGGTCCTAACCCAGTTTTGGTCTGTGTCACACAGTTTGTCTGAGCCACACAGTTTGAAACCACCTTTTCATCTGTTGTTTGAGGCTTCATCAGTTTCTTTCTTATCCCCTCTACTCTCAAACTTCACTGTTCCTGACATAAGAATTGATGTAGAAGCAACTGCGTTCCCAACTCTAATCTGGGCTCCTGGCTTCTAATCTTTCCTGAGTTTATGCCACTTGGATTCGCATACTCTCTCAGGGTTACTCACCATAGACTCAGAGAAGCCTAGGCTCCTTTCTTCCCCCTTCTTCACTAAAGGAACTCACTGCTGGGCCTCTATTCCATGCCCACAAATAAGGGAGTTTGCATTCAAAAATACTGGGCTGAGATTTGGAGCCACTCCTGCACTCCACCTCCTCACACAGCCCAGTGACTTCTGGGCACAGTGGCAAGAGAAGCTTCTAATCACTGTCAGAAAAAAGCCAAATTTGTTTCTCTTTCAGTCTCTGACTCCCATCTCTTCCTTTGTTAGGAAAATCCTCCTATTCATCCCACCTCCTATTCATCCCACTTCTGGCTTCCATTAATGTTACCTTTTTCAAAGTCCTCTTTGGCAAACTGCCTCATCAACATTGTTTCTGAGTAACTGAAGCAGACCTGATCTCTTCTTGAACTTCCTATTCATCATCTTCCGATTTTCTGCCCCTTCCTAGCTCTCTAAGTCAGCTGTGTATCCACCCTTTGCTACACTTGCACTCTGCCTTCCCGGAGTGAGTCATGACTCTTTAACCTCTTTGTATCTGTCTCACCTACTCTCTTGGGTTGTATAGAGTCAGCACCCAGGAGTGACTGCGTTTCTGTAGGTTTAGGAACTGGGTACATTTCTCTGTGTCCCTCTGAGTGATTCTTCAAATTAACCTGCAAAACCAAGGGGGACTGAAGAGGCTTCTGGTAATTTAGAGTACAGGCTTTGGAGCTAAACTGGCTGGATTTGAGTCCTCCACCATTTACAAGATTTTTATTTTTAAGTTTAAGATTTTGCAAGTAACTTCACATTTCTCTGGCCTCTCTGTGTTTCAGCTTCCTCAACTGGATGATGAGAGTAGCGATAGTAAAAGCATCATGAGAACTGAATAGGTTGTGTATAAGGCATTTATTGAAACTGAACTACAATGAACTCTCAAATTTTAGCTAAAAAAT